CACGGCCTCCACATTTTCTCCCTCCATTTTCCAGTTGTCAATCATTCTTGTTGCCATAATCTTGGTTTTTTTTATGTTTAGCTGCAACCCAGCTTTCGCGCTTTCTTCCAGGCTAAATACAAAGTGCATATACCCACTCTGCCATTTTTGCATATATATCTCTTTTCATTTATGTACTCTCCCCATGTCAGTGCTGCCTCTGCATTTACTAATAATATATTATAGAGTTTCACTTTCATATCTATTTTCTGACTCTGTTTTTCTCCTCCTAGTTCCAGTAATTCAGTGGAGTCAACTTTCCTAAAATAGAATTCAGCAGCCTTTAAGGGGGTCTTTGATACAACAGGGGTCAGAATTTTGCACAAGATGAAATGGAAAGTTACTTCTGTTAGGAAGCTATTGCTATTCTCTCACCAATATGGGAGCATACTCCCCCCCCCCATGCTCTTTTGCCAAGTACCTTATATACTGGTGTATAAGCCACCTTCATGAAGAAATGCAAGTTTTAGGGGCAGAATTGTGGATTCTAGTATTGCCTGCAGATAAGACGAGGGTCCTTTCTTGGAGAGGGGACAGCACTAAAACCACCCCTAGCTGCCATTTTCCTACCCAAACATTCAAAAAATCCATAAACTGTGCGATGGAAGAGAAAATAATAATAATAATAATAATAATAATAATTAATTATTATTATTATTATTATTATTATTTATTTATTTATTTATTTATTTATAAATTAATTTATTTATACCCCGCCACCATCTCCCCGATGGGGACTTGGAGTGGCTTACATGGGGCCAAGCCTGGACAACAAATTACAATAAGATAAAACCAGAGCATAAACAATAAACAACAACATCAAATTACATCAAGAAAAAATAGGGGTTCAGCATTTCTTTAGGATCACCTGGTAATGTTTAAGCTTTGCCTTTTGTTTTCTACTTAGAGAAGGGGAAAGTTCCTCATATTTTTATGAGTTAAAGTACTATATTCATATTGACCAGTAGATAAGTCAAACCAAGCAGTTTGGGTCAATTTTTGATTAATACTTCTACTTATACATGTGTATACTCTCTTGGTGGATTGTCACCTTGGGTGGTGTGGGGGCTTGTGTGTTCCAGTGAACCTGTGGATGTAGCCATCAGAGTCATGTGTGCCAAAGAGACCAGTCAAAGAACAGAGAGTGCATGTGTGGTGGGGCGTGCAGGCAGGCCTAGAGTGCGCCTGTAGCCGAGCTCCAGGACTGCCTGTCTGTCTGCCCTGCCACACATGCACTTTCTTTCCAAGGTAAGGAGGGATGTTCAGATGCACACAAAAGCAGGCTTTCATGTCGAGCAGATTTTCATGTGGGGAGAGGGCTTCCCATTTCATGCTTCGAAATAAACAGAAGGCATGAAAGAAATGGTAGAAACGGTAGGAACTAATTTCAAGCACATGTCTACTCATGCTCACACAGGATGGCAATTTCAAGAAACCTTCCCTTTTGGACATATTTTTAGGGCACCAATTGCAGGAGCCCCCGGTGGTGCAGTGGGTTAAACCCCTGTGCCATCAGGACTGAAGACAGACAGGTTGCAGGTTCGAATCCGGGGAGAGGCGGATGAGCTCCCTCTATCAGCTCCAGCTCCTCATGCGGGGACATGAGAGAAGCCGCCCACAAGGATGATAAAACATCAAATCACCTGGGCGTCCCCTGGGCAACGTCCTTGCAGATGGACAATTATCTCACACCAGAAGCGACTTGCAGTTTTTCAGGTCGCTCCTGACACAACAATAAAAATCCCAATACATCAAAGTATACATATTTTTAGGGAGTAATGGGGGATTTAGGAGTTTTTTAGTCCCTATGTGACCACAAAACCCCACTGAGTGTCCATGGGTAAATTCTGCTCTCTCAGATCCAGAGGAAAGCAAAAGGAAACCCCCTTCCCTGAACAAATCTTGGTCAGAAAACCCTTAGGTTGCCTCTGGAAATATCTTCAAGGCACACAACAATGTCTTTATGTTCACTCTATTCTTGCTATAAGTTTCAACTGAATCGAAGATGGCAACATCATGGGAAATGCCCTCCACATATCTTCAATCCTTTTGTGTTTTTCTTTAAAAAGTTGATTTTGGGAAGGTGTGGTGTGACTCAGAAATGGGCTTAGGAGTTTCATGCAGTCCACAGTCTGCCCTTTCTATACCCCTGATCAGGACTTTGAGATGCTTCTTCATAGGCTATGAACAGGTCCAAGTCGGTCCAGCTGTCCCTGTCTTTTGAATAGCATGAATCAGGGTTCATCCAACCTTCACATGTTCAGGAGTCCTTGGAAGGAAACCCAAGAAGACTGTTTTAAATCAGGTAACATCAACAACTTGAGGTTACAAGCGTTCATTTCAAGAGAACCCCAGTTCGTGTTTCTCCTGTAGGGCAAGAATCCAATTGTTGACACTGCAGAAAATGTTAATAAAAGGCCGCCCTTCCTTAGCCTTTGTCCCAAAGGACTGCAGAGCCATGGAGTTGCTACTGCTGGTTGGACTGTCTGTTTTACTAGCTGGGTCAGGCTCAGCAGAACTTGCTCCAGGGTTTAATCCTTGCATAAACTTTTTCTACAAGTCCACCCCACCCACTGGTTTTGAGACTCAGAATGAAAAAAATATTTGCCAGAAATATAGTAACGCTTACCATTTTGCAACTTTGTACAACGTAAATTACAGAATCCCCATCTGGTCTGCCTACATTTTGGACACCAGATCCTGTCCAACAGAAGCCCTGAAGAAGAGTGCATGGTTCATCGAACCCCAGGTAAGTGAGCAAAGGGGAAATGAAGGCACCCATTCTCAAACTACGCTCATGTGTGGTGAGGCACCAGCACTTTTTGGCAGAGAAGGATAAAGACCAGGGAAAACTACAAGTCCCATGATTCATAGCGTGGAGTCACAGCAGCTAAACTGCATTCATTCTATAGTGTAAATGCAACATTTACACTTTTCCCCATAAATAAAAAATAATATGGAGACTATTGAAAATCTAGGAAAGGGAAATGATGTGTGTTTTGCAAATGTACGACAATGTAGGTCTTCAGGTTGTCTGACAGCTTATAGTGATCCTGTGAACATCATAAGATTTCCTTAGGCAAGGAAGTAATTGGTCAAGCCAAAGGTGGCTCTGCCAGTTTCTTCTTCTGACTATAACTGTCATGAATGACTTTTCAATGACTTTGAAGCATAGGTTCTTTTTATTGCAATTTCCAGTGTGAGAGGGTATATCAGATTACAGAAAAACATTTAGACAAAAAAATGTCATTAGACATACAGACATACAGATTCTATGCAACTACATTGGATTCACAATTACATTGGTTAACAAACAAACAAGGGGGAAATACATTTTCACTCAACATTCACACCACATGTACACACATTCATCTACATACATCCAAATATTACCATATCCTTTTCTCCCTTCTTGGAGAAGCACCTGTCAGGCCAGGCCCTGCGTTCCTGCAGCCTGCCAACACATAGTTCTATAACTTCCATAATGCCAAAACTTCAAAACGCTGAGATGCCAAAACTTCTTTCCCTAAGCACAATGCCAAGGACCAGATCTCTGTTTTCCATACAGCAGAACCTGACGCCCTGCACAAAATCCAAGACTCCAAAAGCGCACTTCTTCCTCTTTCCTTGAGAAAGAAGCCCCAAAGTGTCCAGACTGCTCCTGTGCAGATCTGCCACTCTCTGAATACACCATCTCTCTCCTTCCATGGAGCAGAGCATGGCGGGTGGAACAGACTCCTCAATCTGCCACGATTTGAGCATTATTAGACTGAGTCTTTTATAGGAATATTCTGTTGATGTAGTCCCAAAGTTGTAAATTAATGATAGACATCTTCCATCCTGGATCCATCTCAGTTTCCTGGCCAGATGTTGATCTTCTTGATTGGTGTTGATCTTATGTTGACTTCCTTCTTAACATAAGGAAGGTTGCAAACATTTCCTTTATCACTGTCCCAGTTCTTATCAGAGTTTACTCTTCAGATCTCATTAGCAAGTCCAGCAAGTAGGTAGTTAGTCATTGCAGGCCTTAATATTATACTGGTGTTTCCAAAATTATTAGCTCCATCCATACATCCTTCCATTCTTCCAGTCATTCCCACACATCATTTTAAATTCACATTTATCAAATTTTCACATTGAATTTCTTATTACATATTATCTAGTATTTATTGCTAGTCTCCCATCCAAATATTAACCAGGGTTGACACTTCTTGGTTTCCAGGATCAGATTGGATTTGGCTGCCTTTAAGGTATTATTTACAATTTAGGCTGCATGTATCATGAGGAGAAATAACAAAAGAAGGGAAAGCAGCTTCCTTCCTTCCTTTTTTTCACATACATCATGAAAATAGATATCCCTCTCCACACTATAAGATCTCAAGGTGGCATGCAAGTAAAATCTATGCAAGAAAATTTAAGCAATTTTGAATTTCAAGTGACAAAATTAATTAAATCAGACTAAAAATATACTAGGCGGCCATGGTGGCACAGCGGGTTAAACCGCTAAGTGGCAGTACTTGCTAACTGGAAGGCCGGTGGTTCGAATCCACAGGACAGGGTGAGGTTCCGTTGTTAGCCCAGCTTCTGCTTATCTAGCAGTTCAAAAACATGTAAATGTGAGTAGATCAGTAGGTACCACTTCAGCGGGAAGGTAATGATGCTCCAAGCAGTCATGCCGGCCACATGACCTTGGAGGTGTCTATGGACAACACTGGCTCTTCAGCTTAGAAACAGAGATGAGCACCTACCTCCAGAGTCAGACACGACTAGACCTAATGTCAGGGGGAAAACTATACCTTTACCTTTAACACTATACTAACAAGTTTAAACCCTTTAAATGGGTGAAACAGTTTAAGCGTCTCTGTGTGTACATTTTCAGTTAGGGGGTGGGATTGGATGGCCCTTGGGGTCCCCCCTCCAAGAATTAAACAGGGCTTACCCTCCTTCCAAGATCAGGTGGGATCTGGTGCCTTTTAAAGTATTTAAGCTGTATGTTTTTTTTTTGTTTTTTGTGGGGGGTTTTTTGTCGTGTCAGGAGCAACTTGACAAACCAAGTCACTTCTGGTGTGAGAGAATTGGCCGTCTGCAAGGATGTTGCCCAGGGGACGCCCGGATGATTTGTATGTATGTATGTATGTGGGAGGCTTCTCTCAGATATACTTGATGAATGTAGACTAGATGGCCCTTGCCAGGCATGTAGCCGGGGGGGGGGGGGGGCTTGGGGGCTTCAGCCCCCCCCCCCCCAAATTCTGATGGTGGTCTTACTGGTACATAATTTAAACTGTTATGTTTATTCATATCATGATCTGATCACCATGCTCAATATATCCCATATGCATGGGGGTATTGGGGTAACGATACAAAAGGTTTGCTAGGGTAGACCCTCTTTCACTCAGATTCAGCCCCCCCCCCCGAACCAAACTCAGCCCCCCCCCCTCCCCCGAAACAAAATCCTGGCTACGGGCCTCCCCAATGCATAACAATTTCCTTCCTTCTTTATAACTTCCCTGCTTTTTAAAGCTGTATCTATTTATCTACTCACATTTTTGTTTTTGATCTGCTAGGTGGGTAGGGAGCTGAGGCTGACAGCGGGTGCTCATCCCAACCTGGGCTAGATTTTCTGCAGTTTAGCAGTTTAACTTGCTGTGCTAAGCCCAGCCTGTATAGCAGTGGTTCTCAACCTGTGAGTCCCCAGGTGTTTTGGGGACCCACAGGTTGAGAAATCCCAGCCAGACATCCCAGCCAGTTTACCAGTTGTTAGGAATCCTGAGAGTTGAAGGCCAAAACATCTAAGGACCCACAGGTTGAGAACCACTGCCCTATAGCCTTGATTTTCTCCTTCCTTTCTTAATGTAGATCATTACAATGGATATTCCTCCACATATCATGAATTCTCAGGGTGGCATGCAAGTAAAACCTATGCAAACCAACCTATGCAATTCTGACAAAGTTAATAAAAGCAGACTAAAACATACTAAAGAAGTCAACAAGTTTAAACCCTTTAAATGGGCAAAACAGTTTTTAAAGTCTGTCAAGTGGGAGTTTTGGTCCCAAAAACTTTGACAAAAACGTGTCTTGCAGCTCTTCTGATGTCTGAGGTGGAGTATCCATTGGCCTGGAGAGCCCAGTTAACAGCATCCACCCAAACATCCAGTTCACCATGGAAAAAGAAAATGAAGAAGACTGCCTTTTCTAGATGTCCTAGTCATCCGCAAACCAGATCAACAATTGGGTCACACCGTCTACAGAAAACCCACACACACAGATAGATATCTACATAAAAACTCCAACCACCACCCAAGTCAAAAAAGAAGCACCATTAAAGCCTTGGCAGACCGTGCAAAAAGAATCTGCGAACCCCACCTCCTCCAAGATGAACTGAACCACCTCAACTGGGCTCTCCAGGCCAATGGATACTCCACCTCAGACATCAGAAGAGCTGCAAGACCAAGAACAAGCCACGAGAGTAAAGATGGAGATCCACCCAGAGGAAAAGTGTTCCTGCCATACATCAAGGGAACCACTGACCGCATAGGGAAGCTGATGAGGAAACACAACATACAAACAATCTACAAACCCACCAAGAAAATCCAACAATGCTACGTTCAGCAAAGGACAAGAGGGATCCTCTCACCTCTGCAGGAGTCTACCGTATACCATGCAGCTGTGGACAAGTCTACATAGGGACCACCAAACGCAGCAGCATTGCACAAACACGAATCAAGGAACATGAAAGGCACTGCAGACTACTTCAGCCAGAGAAATCAGCCATAGCAGAGCACCTGATGAACCAACCTGGACACAGTATTTTATTTGAGAACACAGAAATGCTGGACCCAACAAACACCATGTCAGACTACACAGAGAAGCCATTGAAATCCACAAGCATGTGGACAATTTCAACAGAAAGGAAGAGACCATGAAAATGAACAAAATCTGGCTACCAGTATTAAAAAAACTCTAAAATTACAACAGCAAAACAACAGAGAGGAAACAACCAGGCACAGATTAACACCTCCCAGCAAGAGTTTCCCAGGCTCAGGCAGGCCTTCAAATGCTAATGAAGGTGGTCAGTTGAAACATTCACACCTAGCTCCAGCAGGAGAGCTCTTTGCCCCACCCCAGCCATTCCACAGATATATAAACCAATTGTCCTAATTCCAACAGACCTCACTACCTCTGAGGATGCTTGCCATAGATGCAGGCGAAACGTCAGGAGAAATGCCTCTAGAACATGGCTCTATAGCCCAAAAAAACCCACAAGAACCTAGTGATTCCAGCCATGAAAGCCTTCGACAATACAATGAACAAATGGACAAACACAGGCACTAAAATAAAAACTCCTCCCCCCAAAAAAGGGTCTGTAGCAAAAATAACCCCACAATATTCCCATCCATTTACCCTTCCTTACTACCAGAATGAACAAATAACTGCATCCCCACTTTTTTAAATAGAATAAAATACAAGGATATTACTATTTTTAAAATTAATAAATTCCTATTTAAAATGTTGCATATTTTATCTGGGTGTCACCTGGTGTGGTCCGCACCCCCAGCATCTCTCTTGTGACACCACTGTTGATTGTTGTTTTTACTTCTGCAACTGTTGCTATTACTCTTATTGTTTCCAGCTCACTAACCCACATGCAGCAACAGAAATGATGACACCAAGTGACTCTGGACTGGACACAAAGGACATCAAAGTCAATCAGGCCCTCAGCGCGGACTATGAGGATACTAATTATGACCGGGGACACCTGAACCCTAATGCGTTTCAGTGCGGCATCCACCGCACAGCCACATTTACACTGACCAATGCCGCACCTATGGATCCATGCTTCAATCGGATCTACTGGTACAAGAATGAAAGAAATCTCAAGACTGGCCTGAACAATAAGTGTGTTAATAAAGGGGGGACTGCCTATCTAGTGACCGGAACAGTTCCCAACAACAACCAGAAAATCCCTGACCCTAATGATGACAAGGAATCTGACAACCCTAGAGAATTCAGCCGGGTGTCCGTACCTAGCCACGTCTGGACTGCTGTTTGCTGCCATTTCCCACGCACTGGTAGTAAGTTTTCTGCAGCATTTCTGGCAGAGAACAAACCAGAATCTGTCATTCAAAGTCTATCTGTGCATGATTTGCAAGAGAATCTAAAGCAGTTCTATCCTTCCCACGATCTGAAAATCTTTGGTGACGATTCATGTAATGGCAACCTGATTGAGCACCTGATAATGACCCTGGATGAAATGGCCCTGGAAGTTAAAGCTGGAAGTCAACCACCAGAATTCTGACATACTATTCTGAACCTCAAAACGTTTCTGAAATATGTAACAAGCTTTCATATATTTGCAGGGTAAGTGGGTGGGTAATAATTCTGGCGGACTGCATACCTGCTCAAAGAATGAAATCAGAAAATTTTGATTCCATTTTTTTTTGTTTCAGCTGAATTTTGTGTTTGAAAGAATATGTATATATCCATTCATTTATTGCTATTTGAAGAGTTTTAGAGGTTGGTAGGAGCAATATGATTGTATTTTATGGGGGAAAAAATCCTGCACGAAATGCTGCCTCTTTTCAAATGATAGCTTCAAGCCTGTATCCTGCAATCATAAATTATAGTAATTGTGTCAATTCCACTAAAGAGCTTGCATTTATTTAGAATTATGGAGTCATAGGTGTGGAAGAGAGCCATCCAGTCCAATCCCCTTCTGCCTGGCAGGAAGACACAATCAAAGCACTCCTAACAAGTGGCCATTCGTCCTCTGTTGAGAAACCTCCAGAGAAGGAGACTCCAAGGCAACATATTACACTGTTGAACAGCTCTTAACATCAGGAAGTTCTTCATATTTTTTCCCCTGTCATTAGAATTCATTGTTTCATATCCTAACCGCTGGAGCAGCAGGAAACAAGTTTCCCCATTCCTCAATGGGAGTCCCAGAGACATTCATGGTTTTGCTATTTTTGGGCCATGGCTGCAAAGTGGGGTCCTAATATATCAGTATTTCTCAACCTGGGGATCAGGACCCCGGGGGGGGGGGGGGTTGCGAGGGGGGTTTCAGAGAGGTCGCCAAAGACCATTTGGTGTATGTTGGGGTTATCAGAGTATCGCAGAAGCTCAGAATAATGGACTCTGGAGTGTCCGGTAAAAGCTTTGATTCTCACTGCTGATCTCGACACCTCTGGTTTGGCATTCTAAGAACAGCTCTTTCATCCTCTTAACGTGTGCTCTTACATCTCCACCTTCCTCCAGCTTAGCATGATACAGTCTCTTAGTCCATATCATTTTGCCAAGTGTGCTCTCTTTCAAATGCACAGCGCAGAGAGCATCCCAAGCTTCCTTGGCAGTTTGCAGACCTTGCACATGGACCAGTTGATCCGGGATTAAACAAAGGATCAAACTCACCAGCGCCCGTTGATTCTTCTCCGGGTCAACTTCCGTATCTAAAATTGTCCTTTGCAAGCCATCTCTCGCAAGCAGATGCTGCATAAACACAGACCATTGCTTATAATGATGGTCACTGAGTTTCTCAATCACCGTCATCAGATTAGAAGCAGCCATTCTCACCACAGGAGACCCTCGCGATCTGAGTTAAAGCCCAGCCGCTGCTTCACACCTTCAATGGCATCTGGCAGTCTCCCCTCTGGTTTCCAGCTTTATGGCTTTACGGCTTCACACTTTCCGATCATCAATCTGGGTCCAGCATGCCCCACTCACAACTCTGCTTACTCCCAGAATCAGTCTTCTTCCGAAGACACTCACCAGCTCTTGGTGAAGCAGGCTCCTGTCACCAGTCCAAACCACACCGCTTCAATCACAGCCTCAAACCTGGTCAGCAGCTCTGCAGGTCAGCAGGTTCAGGTTAAAAGACCTGGTCAGTCTGGGCCCATAACCAATTGTTGGGGTTATCAGAGTATCGCAGAAGCTCAGAATAATGGACTCTGGAGTCTCTGGCAAAAGCAAGAGTTCAGCTTTACTGAAGCAGCTCAAAACATACAACATACACCATCGGCGGACAGACATGAAGGACACAAAACAAAAGAGATAGGCTCTATTACAAACTGCTGCTGGAAGTTTATCTCTGGCACTCCCTAATCTATCACAAAGCAAGAACTCAGGGTCACATTCTCACAGCTTGCTACTCTGCTGTTTTTAACCCTTCTGTGTCAGAACACATCCTGGCAATACAATTCTATTACAATCACAATCCTATTACATAAAATTACATTTAAACATACATCATACATAAAGCATACACTAACATTTCTGATGGACTTAGGAACCCTTTTGGCAGAGAAGGCTGAAGATCTCTCCACCTGACCTTCTCTTCCTACATGGCCAACACAGTATTTAGTGTTGGCCATGTAGGTAGTGTGCCAAGTTTGGTACAGATCCATTGTGAACTGGGTTCACAATGGATCTGTAAAATGGATTGTAGGTGAACTGTAAATCCCAGCACCAACAACTCCCAAATGTCAAGGTCTATTTTCCCCAAACTCCACCAGTGTTCACATTTGGGCATATTGAGCATTCCTGCCACGTTTGGTTCAGATCCATCATTGTTTGAGTCCACAGTGCTTAGAGGTAGGTGAACTACAACTCCAAAACTCAAAGTCAATGTCCACCAAACCCTTCCAGTTTTTTCTCTTCGTCGTGGGAGTTCTGTGTACCAAGTTTGGTTCAATTCCATCATTGGTGGAGTTCAGAATGCTCTTTGATTGGAGATTAACTATAAATCCCAGCAACTACAACTTCCAAATGACAAAATCAACCCCCCCCCCAAAAAAAACCCACCAGTATTCAAATTTGGGCTTAGCAGATATTTGTGCCAAATGTGGTCCAATGAATGAAAATACATCCTGCATATTTACATTACGATTCATAGCAGTAGCAAAATTATAGTTATGAAGTAGCAATGAAAACAATGTTATGGTTGGGGTGACCACAATAGGGGGAATTGTATTAAAGGGTTGTGGCATTAGGAAGGTTGACAACCACTGTACGATATATTACATGTGGACAAATGACAAGCTAATGAACATGAAGGTTTCTCATGTTGTTTCCTTCTGCATCAATTTATGCTTGATCATTGAAGTGCCATGTTCAGCCCTCACTCAACTGGACTGTTAAGAGCCCCTCTTAACCAAACTGCCAAATTGTGCTTATCAGGAAGCCACAGAACTAATAAGTTCAAGTACACTCCGCTAACCTGACAAGCATGGGAAAACACACCAGCTAGATATTTTTAGAAAATATCCTTTGCACATCCTTGTTCTCAGGCTTAAATTGCAGGAACTCCAAAAAGTTGCTGTGATTTTCCAAGTGTCTTGAGGAACAGCCTCCGTCAGAAGAATAATGCCTGCTCATCAACTAAAATTGATTTTTGAAAGGATGTGGTGTATATATGTGTGCGTGTGTGGTCCAAACTGAGCTTGGCATCATTCAGAATACTTTGGTGTATTGCTGCAGTTTGATTGTATCTACTGGAGTTTGGAAAACTACTGTTTCATGATCTGAAAAGGAAAGGAAAGACAATTGCTTGTCTTCACAGTCAGTTTCAATCTCCGTGTTAAATGAGTCTTGGCTAATGGAGCATTTGTATGTTGGTTTATTTATAAAATTGTGGGTGGGCCACAAATAAGTAGTAGAGCCTCTCCTATGTATTATACCAGATTTAATATTTCTAACTACCCCAAGGGGTAAAGTCCCAATGGAAAACCTTGGAGATGCAACACTAGTCCGTCCTAAGAAAATGAAGTTCAACAGGGACAAATGCAAGATACTCCGCATAGACAGAAAAAAATGAAATGCAAAGAGACAGAATGAAGGACGATGCCTGGCTCGACAGCAGGACATGTGGAAAAGATCTTGGAGTCCTTGAGGGGAGGAAGGGGAACATGAACCAGGATTTTGGCCTGCATCAATAGGAGTCTAGTGCCTAGATCCAGGGAAATCATGCTACCCCTCTATTCTGCCTTGGTCAGATCACACCTGGAATCATGCTGTGTCCAATTCTGGGCACACAATTGAAGGGAGATGTTGACAAGCTGGAATGTGTCAAGAGAAGCGTGACTGAAATGATCAAGGATCGGGAGCCCTATGAGGAGCAGCTTCAAGAGCCTCAAGAGCTGGGCATGTTTAGACATGTATGGGGAAGTCATAGAGAGGAGGGAACAAGCTTGTTTTCTGCTTCTCTTCAGTAGTATAGCACATGTACTTGAGCAAGACAATTTGGTTTCCAGCTATTAGACTGATAAACTGGTTGTCTTTGATCTGTTAGGAACAGAGATTGTGCCAATGAACAAAATATAGCAGTTCTTCAGAAGCATTTTCTTCAGTGCCCCAAAACATCTACTCTACCATAAAATATCTTGTTTTTATATCATGCTCTCAAGAGATCAAAAATAAAGTAGACTTTGTTAAAAGTAACACGTTTGATTTACTCACAACTTTCATGTATTCAGCATACAGGAGGATAGTAGGCTTGGGTAACCACGGAAAAATTTGGTTCTAAACTCGTTTTGTTTTTAGGGGCCCTTGCATTTCGTTTTTTTAAATAATTCTGAAATTTTCCTTTAAAAAATTTCGAAATTTATGAAATTTCAGTAAAATTACGAATCGATTTGTTAATGGCGGACGAGATTGCGCAATATGCTAAAAAAACCTTCAAATGGGACAGGAGGAACTTCTGAAGCTTCCCTCTCCCTCTGTTGTTGACTGTTGGTGTGATAAAACAAACAACAACTATAAAACTTGCACCAGACATGCGAAAATAATTACGAAATAATTACGAAATAATTTCAAAATAATTATGAAATAATTACGAAATAAATTGAAAAAATTGTTTCGAATCTTTATTACTCCTCACACAATTCCTGCATGGCTCAATATTGGATCGTAAGCTAATTTAAATATGAATTAATAACGAATTACGAAATTAACAAACGAAACCGCCCAAGCCTAATAGATAGCTTGCCAATTCAGTTACCAATAGGTTTTGAAGTGCTGTCTCTATGCAGATAACACAGGGTATCTTCCTTACAATCAACAGCAACATCTTTACATTTGGAGAGTCTAACAGAGTCTGTCCTCTAAAATGGAGTCTGAGATCAGATCGGTTTCAAATCTGATCATGTAATCTGCAGCCCCTCCCACAACCTCAAGAAGCATAGAGTAAAGGGAAAGCTGCATGCCAAAACATACATATGGAATACAATAAGCAAACAGAATAATATACAAACAAATTACTAGTGGAGGCTTGAAAGAGGTTGTAATTTCCAGCAGTGTATCTTTCACCTGCAAATACACATTGAAGTAGAATCACAGAACAGGAAGAGGCCCCCAGGAACATTCCGTCTAACCCTCTTCTGCCAGACAGGAAGACACAATCAAAGTAGTCCCAGCCGATAGCCATCCAGTCTCAGTGTAGATAACACCCGAGTGGGAGACCTAACCACACTCCAAGGTTCTTACATCATGTGCCGTCGCGCCTGAGGCTATAGGTCTTAGTGAAAGATACATGGACGTGATATCTCTCCCCAGGGGATTGCTTCTTGCCCTTCTTTAGGAAACTTGAACTCCCAAGGACCAAGACACAACAGATAACTCGAAATGGTCTTTATTGTTCACAATG